GTGTCCGATTGCAACTTACCACCTTCTGTCATACCGACGAATTGTAGCGACACAACATGGGTTGCGTGGTGGGGTGGGAGAAGGGAAGGGGGTGGGGCGGGGGTGGGGCGGGAGGGGGTGGGGCGCGCGCAGCGCGCCGTGCTAAACGCACTTGCAACTAAAATATTAAAAACCATCGTTAAACATTTTTTGTTAATAACTTTTTAACGAACAACGAGCGACGGCTAAAACCTTCTGAGGGTCACTCAGGAGGGTGACCTTGACCTTGACCTTGAATGTCAAGGTCGTAGGAGCTTGGTCCCCTATTCTGCAGTTTTACCGTCTGTGCTTATGGCTTGCGCAGGAAGGTAAAGTAGAACACGGAATTAAAAATGGTAAATTACCGACATTTTTAGTTCCGTGTCTTAGATGGCGCACACCCGTCAGAGTTCGCCGAATGTTGGGGGATCCTCTTAAGTCGCCTCTTACGACAGGCAGGGGCTACCCCGGGGCTATTCGATAGCGGCACCCGTACGCCAACACTTTCATGGATCTGCCAAATTTATTATAGATTAGACGTTCGAATTCTTTAAATTTTTCGTAGACATCCGACTTATGCCTGATAAAGTATACGGTCCTGAAACTCGTGGCTTCGTCTATAAATGTCAAGAAAAATTTGGATCCTCAACTGATTCTGTCGACATTGGACCACACACAACTTTTCTAACTATTCGTCTCGATTTCATTTATTATACTTATCAAACGTCACATTACGCTAAGAGACAGCGTTATCGGTTCTCAATTAATCAATAGTTATATAATTTATGATGTATGAACAGATAAAAAATTGCACGATTTAGAATGTGTTCCAAACCGCACTCAATTTGCGAGATCCAGGTATTAATGACCGTGAGTGTACACACATCATGATTAAGTATTGAGAGTTTTTCACTACTGGATTCTTCGATATGTGAATGAAGAAAACTGTGGATGAAGAAAGTGAGAAAACTGAATCTATAATTGAAAATGATGAAATAGAAAATTAGCAGAAAACTCGAGAGAAATTAAATTTTTCATGTGTAATAAATAATTTAATGTTTATTATGAAATTGTAACGTTAATAACAAAGGAACTCTCCCCACCGCGCACAAGTCCCCCGGCACCACTCCGTCCCGCACCTACAACCGGCGGGTATATAAGCCGGCGCAAATCCACCGAGAGCACCAGATCCCGACCAGCGAGCTGAGCTGGTCTTCCGACGGTGACGACGCGCTGAGTCCGAACCGTCTCTAACCTCGCGAGTTGAGCGAGACACCGACCCGCCTGTGATCCTGACGCGTGCTGAGCGTCAACCCGAGAACCGCGAGTTGAGCGGGAGATCCTTGTCGTTCCGAGCCACGTGCTGAGTGGCCGTCCTCTCCGTAGGCTATCGCGAACTGAGCGAAGCTTATAGTCCTCGCCACGTGTTGAGTGGCTCGACGCCGAACCGAACCTAACCTAACCGCGACCACGAGCTGTCATCCGCGAGCAGACAGTATACCGCGCCGACACCGAGCAGACCGCGCCTGCGCCGTCCGCGCCGAACCGCCGCGCCGCGCCGAGTCCGAGCAGACCGAACCGCGTACGAACGCACCGGGCCGAGCCGCTAATACCGCGCCGCCGCCGACATATCGACCAATCGATCGCCGTCGCGCGCATAGATCTCAAAGCGCCCCAGCGCCAGATTATAAAATAGCGAACCGCCGTCAGAACGGCCGTAGTTATAAGGGTAGTTATAAGTTAGCGATAAGTTAGTTGTAAGTAGTTAATGTAATGCTAAGTGTTAAAATATAATTCGGTAGTTAAGATTTAAAACCGACTCTCTCTCTTTTCGAGACACCCACCGCCGGACCCTAGAATTCCCGCAGCTATCCGTTGCACAGCAACTAACTATTCGAACGGTCACAAATGAAATTATTAATTGTATTTAACACACATAACTTGTGATAATAAATAGTGCGATTTGTTACAAATTAATATTATACTTATTATTATAATTAGTGTAAGATATTTTATGTATTTTAATTAAATAAATATTATTTATTAATTTTTTCATTCATTCACTTTTATTAACAGTTATATTTTATAAGTAATATAACTTTACATATAAAACATACATGTCATTTTTACGTAACTTTTCTTATACATATGTATATTATATTTCTCTTATGACTAATTTATAACTTCCTTACAAAACTTGAATTTGGTATGAAATTATAATGTTTCTCTTATAACATAACTTTTCTTATATATTTTTTCTTGTATAGAATTTATAAGATACAATTATAATAATTATAATAATTATTGCCATTGTATTTTGCACGAATAGCTACGGTATAATGTTTCTCTTATAACATAACTCTTCTTATAAATTTTTTCTTGTATAGAATTTATAAGATATAATTATAACAATTATAATAATTATTGTCATTGTATTTTGCACGAATAGCTACGGTATAATTTTTTTATTCCTATTATTTTATAAACTTTATTATCAACTGTCAGCTTCGAATCGAAACTACTCTCTGGTAATATTGAAAATTGTGATGTATTATTGTTGTCGATTGGAGTTTCACTCATACATTTAAGAATTGATGATTCATCCCAGCAAATTTTTTCAGTTTTACCTTTGTTGCGCCAGTTATCTTGCGATTGAGTATCAGAATCATTCAAAGTCTTTTTTACTAGAAAACTCTCGTCGTCACTCTGGTCTCCAAATGTAGATGAAAATATTTCTTTTTTATTGCTGCTCACTTTGATATATATGTATAACAGCTGATGATTCTATTTCAATGAATCTATTGCATCGAACAATTTTAGTACTCATATCGTTACAGAGTTCCCAACTATTATCAATTCTCCTGCAATAAGAAACGTAATGTCCCGGTAATTGAGCAACAATTCTCGCCAATCTACAAAGAAATGTAAATAATAAATAAACATGTTTCATAATAACTGGACCATTTTACAATTAAAAATATAAATTAATTTTCAAACCTGTATTCGTCAGTATTTAAATGTAACTTTATTGGGAAATCTTTCAATGCGCACTTCATTCCTGTAGCAACGTTAATATTTTCTCGAATATCCAATTCAATAAATATTTGATTATTGTAGGTTCTTTGTCGAGAACAACGTCCAGAACATTTTTTTTTATTGCATTGAAGTAACTTCATTGAAAGTTTAGAAAAAAGTAATGCTTTCTGAAGTGCACTAAATCCATCTTCTTTAATTATATTGTGATTAACACATAAAGTGGAGATAGGTAATGAATAAGTACCACATATTGAACAATGATATGTATCTAGGACACTTCCCTTACAGCAAAAAGTCGACTTTTTTTAGGACGAAAGTTCGACGGAAAGTCGACTAAAAGTCGGCGAATGTCCGCAGAAACGCCGACTTTTCGTCGACTTTTCGTCGACTTTTAGTCGACTTTTAGTCGACTTTTAATCGACTTTTAATCGACTTTTAGTCGACTTTTCGTCATCAGCAAAAAGTCGACTTCTGGCAAGAGATGCAAACTTTGGGGCCGAGCACCATCAAAGTGTTGCACTCGGTGCTTACACACACGGACACGATTGCGCTTGTGTGTGTGAGCACTGACAATGAGTGTAACACTTTGATGGTGCTCGGCCCTAAAGTTTGTATCTCTGCTTCTGTCTCCAACAGATCAGTAATGCGCTATTTTATTGCGCGTGTGATATACATGATATGTCCCAAAAGTAATGCGTCGCATTTTTTTGACGCGACTATATGTCGCAGAGCGGTCAGACCGATTTGGATAGGATGGGGGAAGTTTAAGCTTTCCAATGGTTCCGCGCTGAGTTGTCTCCGTGCCCTGGGTAGGTCACAACGTGTCTGTTTGTGAGCTCCTGTGTAGAAGTCTCGTCGTACTTTTCGGTATATTCAATAAATCCGACATTAACCGAACACTCATTCGACGGTCAGAATTCAGCAACTGGCGCACACGAGTCACACTGTCGTCGTTTCGCGACGTTGAAGGACGTCCTTGGCGGGCTTCGTCGGCGACCTCCTCCCGGCCTTCTTTAAACATCTTGTGCCACCTGTTTGACTGCGATCTGGACAGACAATCGTCACCGAAGGCTTGCTGAAGCATCTCGAAAGTTTCCAGCGGCGTCTTGTTCAGCTTCACGCAAAACTTGATCGCGTATCTTTGCTCTACAGTTTTCTCCATCGTAAGTACGACGAGACTTCTACACAGGAGCTCACAAACAGACACGTTGTGACCTATCCAGGGCACGGAGACAACTCAGCGCGGAACCGTTGGAAAGCTTAAACTTCCCCCATCCTATCCAAATCGGTCTGACCGCTCTGCGACATATAGTCGCGTCAAAAAAATGCGACGCATTACTTTTAAGACATACCTTGTACGTACGTTATTGCGCTGGTCTGCTGTGGCTCTTCTTGTAATCTTTTGGCTTCAGATTTAATTGAATTTTATACACAGTTCAACAACGCAGGAATTTGATAGTAGGTCTTTTTAAGATTGAGGTTAGAGCTTCATTTTCTAAAATGAAAAAGAATTTTTATAAATTATCAGCCTCTCGGGGGATACGAGAACGATCCACCTACGTGCTCCCGAGTCTACACCTACACTCTACAGTTGCACTTCCGCCTATCGTCGGTGCGAGGGAGGCTCGATCACGACCTACCGGAGAGAGACAACCCGCGGCTTCTGTGACTCAAAATGGACGCGCGCGCGCGTCGACATGTCGCCGACAAAGTCGACTTTTATAAGTCGACTTTCAGTCGATTTATAAAAGTTGACTTTAAGTCGACTTTCCGTCAGTTTTAAGAGTCTACTAAAAGTCGACTTTCCGTCATCTGTGCTGTTAGGGTTGATTCTGATTGAAAACATTTCATCCAGATAACAGTTGGATTAACCCAAAAATTAATGGAGAACAATGAAACACTTTGTGATTCTTCCAAATCGGCTTGAATTTTAGAGCTAAATAATTTTTTTAAAAGTTTTCATCTTTCTTTGTAAATATCTGCACAAGGTCCTTTTTTAATAAAATTGAGAATAAATTGCATTGTCTTATTAGCATTCGATTCTATTGATGCGAAATATTGTGATTCATCCATAGCCGCTGTGGACAATATTTGAATTATAGAATTAAATGGAGACAGGTATTTCTAGTAAAATAGAATTTTTTATCAATTAGAGTCGGTTGATTAATGTTATTACCATTTTTTAATAGCATCAATTTATCAATGTCTTTAATACGATTATTACGATGACGAATATCTGGTTGAGATTTATAATAGTAACCACATTTTTTCTTTACATTTTCTTTCTGCTTACTTAAGTTTTGATCATTTTGATTATTATTGTTGTGTTGTTACTGTTATTATTATTATCATTGATTTCTTCATTGTTGGAAGAGTCTGAGAAATTTCGACAATTAAAGAGGCAGTCTTTCTGATTCTCTATACTCGATAATACTTGGAATTTATGTAATGGCGAAGCAAGTTCCGAATTATTTAAATTTGGCAGTATTTTTATTGGTGACTCAATACTCAAATTTTTTTCCTGATTAGAAACTTTTAATTTTGATGCTAATATCACAGAACTACCAGAATAATCTTTAAATATTATTTTTAAAAATTTGTCTGCTCTTAAAAGCCCAGAATAATTCTTTAATACTCGGTTTTTAAATTATTAAAATGTCCTTCCATTGAAGCAGTACTTGCACTCTTGTAAACTTAGGAAGAGCAGCAGAAGACCATAATGGAAACTCATCTACAAGTGGTAAAAAACTATCAATAAAATCTTTAGAGAAGAATGGATTGAGTTCTGTACCAAGAGCTTCTGATATCTTAGCAATTGCTAATAAATAATCAATAGCGACATTTATGAGTACCTGACATTATATTAATATACTATATCTCTCTCATCTGTATGTTCATCTGCAGAGTGTACTTCACATTTGTATTATCAAAACTGATATCTTCTTCAATATTTGATATATAAGAAATTGCCGATTTTCTATATATGTTTCCAATTTCTTTCTGGCATCAATAACAGTTTCACCAATTATTGTCTCAATTTTTGTATCATAAAATTCATGCAAGCAACTGTACTTACAAGTTAACAAAAAAATTTCACGAAACTGTTCCAAATTTTGACTATCAACCATTAGACCTAAAGCATACAGGTAAAAACGACGAACTATTTTATGTTTCATAGTTTTAAAACATGACCATTTACGAACCATATTCATTAAGTGAGTCACATCAATTCGGATATACAGGGTGTATTCTAATTCGCGCCCACCATTTATATAGTGATGTTTCTCATGAAAAACTGAGTCGAAGAGTCCCGAACCATTTTTTCGAGTCACACCTCACAAAGTAGTTAATATTATTTAAAAATTAACGAATCCGCATCGCTTTTTAAACGGACGCACGTTCGTGAGCCACGCGTCTACTAGTGTGTGTGAGTGAGTCGCCGCGCGCCTCAGCGTTGCCACGGCCGCGTTCACGTAGCTCCGAATAATCAATAATTGCTTTTTGCAATGAGCATGATATTTTCCACTCAGGAAGCACCTTTTTAGATTACAATTTGATATTAGTTGTACTTTCACATAAGAAAATTGTAAAATAAAATAACTGTGGTGACAGTGCCCCCCGTTCCGCCGTCATCCGAGTTCCGATTTGACCAAGATGACTTTTTAAGTTAATTTTTTTCACTAACAAAAATAAAATTTTAAATCTCCAAGAATTCTTCTAATTATCAATTTTAATATTAATAAAAACGTTTTAATAATATCTTTATGCAAAAATGGACCTAAAATGGATTTAAAGTATTTTTAATCAGAACTGTTACCCTCTTACCGCGCATGTTTTAGCAACTAGATGATGGACTCATCAACAAAACGTGAGGCACTTCGTCTCAGGGCTGCATTCGAAAACACCATCGAAATGTCCTATGTATCATTTCATCCTTATTCACCGAATGTGAAATGATACATAGGGGCATTCGAGTGATGTTTCCAAACACAGTCCATGCTTAGATAAGCGTCCAGCGTTTTGTTACTTTTTATTTTTCCTTTCCAGTTTATCCGAGTTGATTTTCCGAGATGGTCCTGATCCACATTAACTCGGATAATCGGGACGTTACTCTATTGTACTTCAACGTTAACACTGTTGCGGTCATTATCTTCTTTTACTTTATTTAATTTTTTACACTTACACTTATCGGTCGCAGCAAAATAAATACAATCTTTCTCCTTTCTACTTTTCTGCCTTATTAGAGAAAAATTAAATAAAGTAAAATAAGATAATGGCCGCAAC